GTGTGTGTGTGTGTGTGTGTGTGTGTGTATAGATAGATATATTTATATAGATAGATAGATAGATAGATAGATATCTGGTGTTATAATATATGGTGGTATAAAGTATATGTACTTTCACACCATGTATTAGATGTGTTTTAAATGTTACAGAACATGTGAATGCACTGATTTCCACAGGTGAACAAGAACATGTGACCTTCAGGGTTTTGTCAATATTAACAAATACTTTTAAAAATAGCTATAAAGTGACTTAATTATCTGAATTACTGATGCTCTGCAGGGTTAGTAGTTAGTCAGTTCAAGTTATTAAGTGTTAGTAATGGTTATTAATCATGAATAAACAATGAAATTGTTGGTTTTAGAAGTAATAAGCTTTTATGGGTAAARCRTKAACAMATGCCAGTTTACACAAACATTTTCTCTGAGTCAGCTGCCACAGTGTGACCAAAAAAATTATAATTACCTGGAATAAAAACAGATTTCACTCAGGTTGGTTTGACTCATTCTTTACATCCTTTATTTTATTTTATTTTTGGGGGTGTGGGGGTATGTATATATATTTTTTACAAAAATAAATATAAATGAGACAAAACCAAATTTACATCATTGGTTGTGTCCAAATTTAGGGGTTGGGTCCTTTAGAGGACCCGACCTCTCCAGTCTAGGTGGGCCGGGTCCTTGCTCGACCACGAAGACCGGGAAAAAACATGGCTGTGGCTATGGAGGGTCTAGTCTCTCAGCCTCCCCCCGGCATATGTCCTGTCCCCTAGTTATTGTGACGATAGTAACCAGAAGCCAAAATTGATCAAAATGAGCAAAATATCAATATATTAGTATTATTAATATCATAAAACAACAAAATTAGCTTAAAGGCAATATTTGAAGAACTAATGGACCAGTAGGTGCATGTTTATTTCATTATACCAGCAATGTTTAATTTCTGACAAGAATAATATTAAAACATGTTTACATAAATACTTAAAGCTTTAACAACACAACCGCTAGAAACTCAATTTTTATGCTGCCAGATTTTTATTTAAAAGTTTTATTTAAAAATCTCCGGTCAGCCCGCAATGCATTATGGGATAGGGTGTGCCGAGAATTTGGACACAGCCATTTTTGCCCACGACGAAACGTGAAGGCAGATGATGATGATGTCACTGCTGGTGGATGTGTCGGCGCGTCCGTTACCAAAATACCTTACAAACTTTAATCAAACATTAGATTTACCTTCTTAACTAATTAACTTTTAAGACGTCTACTGCAATAAACTGATTTAAAAAACACATAAATGATTTTAACTTTGTTCGTTAGACAGGGATTGAGCTATAATTTGCTGTGGTAGTAGCTGAGAGTCCCATCTTGCAATGCGTCAGACTGCAAACTGCATGAAAGCTGGCGGCTGCATTTCTTACAAGAATTGTAAAGTTTTTAGTTGTAAAACCTTTAACWGCTGTTTTCTGCTAACAGGAGCGCTGCTCGTCTCTGCATGCACCTGAAACAGCTTGCAGCTTGATTTCCTGCGTTGTTTCTCTCTTTCTCTTCCCTCCTCTCAGCAGCAACCTGCGCCTCGTACAATTTCTCCTTCCTCAGTCCGCAAGGCCTCAACTTCTCCTCTCCTCCCACTTCGGCTCCCTTCTGGTCAGGTACTTGCGCCTCCCTGCTTTTTCTCGCTTCTGTTTGACAAWCTGCGCCTGGAACGATGTGTTAAGATTTTTAATTGGGCCCAGGATATTTCCTGGTTACATTAAACAAAGGGAGATGGAATCATTTGTTGTCAGTTTGTGTCYACACACTGCTGTGTTGACATCATTCCCTCTACATTACTTTACAGTTAATACCAGTGTAGCGTGTCGTATATAAAAGTGCAGAGACTGAGCTGCTGCTCTTTATATTCCCAGTGTTCACTCCTCGGGTGGTCAGCACCGCGGTGGCCCGGTACAACTTCGCGGCGCGGGACATGAGGGAGCTGTCCCTGCGAGAGGGAGACATCGTCAAAATCTACAGCAAGATCGGCGGAGACCAGGGCTGGTGGAAAGGAGAGGCCAACGGGCGAGTAAGTGCGGAGACGAACGTCTGCGAACAGGCCGGATTAAATGAAACTGTCTCTTTTTTTAAAGAAAGAAAAAAGTAGGAAGGTGGAAGAAAGGAGTAAAAACCTGGCTGCTTGGAGATATGCTTCTTCAATTCTCTGGCTGTAAAATAGGATGTGATGTCAGCTTTTTATTTCAGGAATGTTCCCTATAAAGCTGTGAGTTTTACAGCGATGAGGTGTTCCTGTGGAGCTCCTTTCTGCACCTTGTTCTGACGCCGAGCGTTAGATTTGAAATGAGTTTGGTTTTATCTCAGAGTTTCCTCCTTTTGCTGAAAATTCAGCAAGAAGAAAAAAGTGTTTAACTTACAAACCTCAGTTCCAGTSAAGTTGGGACTTTGTGTAAAACAAATAAAAACAGAATATGATGATTTGCARATCCTTTTCAACATGTATTCAATTAAATACTCTGCAAAGACAAAATATGTAATGTTCAAATGAAGAAACTTTATTGTTTTCTTAGAAATATTCACTCATTTTGAAGTTGATGCTATGTTTACCACTGTGTTACATCAGCTGTAACATTGGTGAACTTAAAAACATTAATTGTTGAAGCTTTTAGCTTCAGTTGCTCGATGTTTCAGGATCTCAGTTGTCGTATTTTGTGTTTGATAATGCTCCACACATTTYCAGTGATAGGTCTGGACTGCAGGCTGGTGTCATCTATCTGTCTGCTTGACACTGTCTTGCTGAAATCAGCAGAACGTCCCTGAAAAAGACGTTGCTTTGATGGCAGCATATGTTGCTCTAAAGCCTGTATGTAGATTTCAGCGTTTATGGTGCTTTCACAGAYGTGTTAACCATGCCCTGTGCACTAATACACCCCCATACCATCAGAGAGGCTGGATTATGAGCTTTGTGCTGATAACAATCCAGAAAGTCCTTTTCCTCTTTGATCCGGAGGACACCACGTCCATGATTAGAAGTGTGGACTCGTGAGACCACAGGACACTGTTCCACTTTGTGTCAGTCCTTCTCCAGAGAAGTCAGCTGTGTTTCTTGGTGGTGTTGATATCTGTCTTAGGCTTTGTGTGATAGAGCTTTAACTTGTATATAGAACTTGTGGAGATGAACTGCTCACTGACGATGGTTTTCTGAATCTTCCTGAGCCYGTGTGCTAATATCTGTTACAGAATGATGTCTGTTTTTAATGCAGTGCTGCCTGAGGGGTCAAAGGTCATCAGCATTAAGTTTATTGTTTATTGTTTTATTTGGATCCCCATTAGCTTCCACAGCAGTGGTTGCTAGTATTCCTGGGGTCCATAAAATCAAAATACAAAAAATGCAATTAACAATACATATAATTAAAATGTACATATTCATTTCCATAGAGTTTTAAAAGGTATAAAAAGTGTTTGTTTTCAGCCTTGCTGCTTGCTTGTAGAGATTATTCAGATTCTCTGAATCTTTTGATAATAATATGGACTGTAGATGATGAAATCATTAAATTCCTTGCAGTTGTACATTGACAATCGTTTTTAAACTGTTGGACTATTTGCTCACAAAGTGGTGAACCTCGCTCCATGCTTGCTTGTGAACTGAGCCTTTCATGGATGCTCCTAAAGCACGACCCTCACCTGTTTCCAGTTCACCTGTGGAGTGCTTCAAACAGGTGTTTTTTGAGCATTCATGAACTTTTTAGAACAAATTCAAAATGAGTGAATATTCTGCAGGAAAAAAACATTTAAGTTTATCAGTTTGAACATTAAATATCTCGTCTTTGTTGTGCATTCAGATGAATATAGATTGAAAAGAATTTGCAAACCATTGTTTAGAGTTTTTATGTTCGTCCCAACTTCATTGGAATTAGGGTTATATTTATTTTAGTTATTTAGTCTGAACACCTACAATTTAACTTTCTAAGTGCCGCCATCTATTTACAGCGGGTAAAATAGGTATTGAACACGTCACCATTTTTCTCAGTAAATATATTACTAGAGGTGCTAA